AGTTTTTGAAATGACTTTTAATTTAACTGTGTGTACATGGAGTGTGTGGAGAAGGTAAGAAGATGGTGTCATTACTTGAGGAATCGTTAATGGGTTGTTATGCCCAAAGATAAAGAAGACAATACCAAGGATAGATCTCAGTCAGTTTGTGAAAGGACTTATAGCATAAACCTCATAGAATGTGTGGAGAGGGTAAGAAGGGGGGGATTTCATGGGGGGGGGGCTTTGGGGGGTTGTCATGTGCATAGATGGAGAAGGCTGCCAGAGATATATTCTGATTCGATACAAGTTTGTAAAAACACCTAGTAGTATTGTTTGTAAATGGAGTGTGTGGATAGGGTAAGGTATTTTGTATGTGAGGTGGGATCATTAGCAGGGGTGTGTGTGTTGTGAATAGATGGAGAAGACAATGCCAGGAATAGATCTGATACAATTTTATGAAATGATCTGCACAAACAGGAAAAAAATGTCAGTGGATAAATCTGAAGATATAGCCTCCTTAGGTACTACGTTTTGTCTGTGAAAAATGAAATGTGTATTGCATGAAACATGAAAAGATTCACCATGCAAAGTGTTCTTTTGTGTAAATGTTTTGAAATTCTCTGTTTCCTTTGTAGACCCAGCAGGTTGCTGCAGCCATGAAGAAGGGAAACTTTGAGAACTGTGTGAGTCTACGGGGCAGGTAAGGCTGGTGGACAGGCAGGCAGATACAGGGGGATTTCTGGGTATCTGAAGTAGTGTAGGATAGGGCTCTGTCCCTAATACCTATACCTGTACTGTAACAGAAGGGAAAAAGGATACAGATACAGATTAAGTACCTAATACCAGCCCAGAAGAGAACAAGAAATAGCCATGCCTTCAAGTACCAGAATTATCAACCAAGGATTGAGGTGTTCGAGAATTCATTCTTTCCTAGAACTATCGCAGAGTGGAACTCACTGTCACCAAGTACAGTAGGAACATTGTCATTAGATAGCTTTAAACAAATGATTGTCTAGAGTTAGAAGGTCAAGGGTTAGGTGTACTACAGTTACAAGTCGATCGGTGTAATGTAGCCAGCTGCTGGCGCGCTGCGTGCCTGCGAAGCTGGTGTGTTACACCGAAAGGCGGTTATACCGGCTATACATACAGATACCAGTAGTGTAGGAAAGGCAGGGTTCGAAAGTACATATAATTTTACATATGCATTCAATAAGTAGTATTCTAAGAAGAATATTTTACGGTAGTTCAATATGATTGAGTTGTGACCATATTTTATGCAGAGCTTAATTTAATAATAATCTTACAGTTTGTTGTGAATAACAGCATTTTGCTTGTGTTGTATTTTTGTCTTCAGGAGTTTTCGCAACAACTTGGAGATCTACAAGATCCTGAGTCATGTGAAACCCCCTAATAACCCCCAGCAGGTAGGTTGGTCCAGTCCGCTGTTTGGCAAAAGTACTAAAAATCTTTAGGACTATTCCATCGTGAACACTGAAAAGGGGTTGTCAGCATATATTTAATCTCCCCTTCAATCAATAATTTAAAAGCCACACAAAAAAGTTCAATGACCACCCCTTTATCTAAGATGGAATAGCCCAGGCAGTAAGGTAAATTTGATGCGACAGTAAAAAAGAAAAAAAAAGGTGTTTATTATATGATTGTTTTTTATCAAATGAGTTTCAAATCGGATTATTAAGTATTTGAAATTTAAATTAATTGTGAAATTGATTATTTTCCAATGTAGAATGTAGTAATGTGTTCAACTTGGTGTTCTGAAAATCCTGTGTTTTGTGAGTGATATCTGTGGTGTGGTTTGCAGTGGTGATTCACAAATTAAACTTTAGTATTTAGAATCTAATCATCAGCAGGGTTCATTGGACAAAAAAATGCTTTCCCAACAAATAAAAGCACAGTCACACATTGGCATGAAATTTTGGTCATACTAAATTTGTAATTAAAAGAACATCCAAGCCAGCTTTTGATATATGATTCCTCAAGAATTGCAACATGAAACATCCAACAAAGTTTAAAGTAAGTGGCACTGCATAATACATGTACGAAATGAATTAAGCAACTGGAGATATTTTCTGAGGAGTGAGAATTTTTCAGAGAGAATCTTTCATCAGTGACTGAGAACAGTATTCAATTTGGTATTCTGACTGATTTAACTCAGAGAATTTATTTAGTAACTGTTAGTTGGTTTATTTCACAAATTACATAGTGTTCTACCAGAATGTCTAACCTTCAATGGCAGACTGTCAAATAAACCCTGCAACTAAAATCTAACAACTTCTAATTCACAGTTAGCTCTTCCCCTGGGTGTCAGCGAATCACGGGTGTAAGGTCTGATCGGGTGAATTTTCGCACTGCACGTTTTCTTTAGGGCGGTCATGACAATGATTTTTCCGACGAACAGTCGCCGGTTGTGGTTAGGCGGCAGTCGCGATGCACCGTAGATGGAACGTCGCGTTTGTTCTCGCCGCCCTCAACGTTGTCATCGGACCGCTCTCCTGTTCCAGCGAAACGGCCGCGTTGGTCGGCGGATTTCAACAACCCCGTGAGAGATAACTTACAACACTCACGTACACAGACTCTCGTGTGGACTGTCCTTCTGTGTATCATACCAATATTTTACCCCTACTGCTTCAATCCTACTTTCAGGTGTTTAAGGAACACTTATGTGAGACCTCCTATGTTAAACTTCTGAAACATAGACTGTCCTCTCCTGTTTTGTATCACACCAATGTTTTTACCCCTACTGCTTCAATCCTACATTTAGGTGTTAAGGGAACACTTATGTGAGACCTCCCTTGTCAAACCTCTGAAACATGGACTGTCTTCTTTTGTGTATCATACCAATGTTTTACCTTAAAGTTTACTTCTTTTCCTACTTTCAGGTTTTTAAGAACACTTCTATGTGAGACCTTTTCTCTCTTCTGTCAAACTGTCTGAAATATAGACTCTCTTATTTTGTATCATACCAATGTTTTTACCCCTACTTCTTCTGTCCTCTTGTCAGGGGTGTAAAGAGAACACTTCTATGTGAGACCCTCCTCCTCTCTCGGACTTCTTAAACATACTGTAGGCTATAGAATAGTCATGTAGGTTAGATTTAACAAAGGGTAATCTAAATTAGTAATGATAGAAACAATGTAGTTGTTATAATTGTAATGCTATAGCTTAGGAACATACAAATTATATCACATTTATAGAAGGGTTAGGGCTAAATATTACATTCATAAGATGGCATCTAAAAGCTTTTAGAAGGAAGACCTCTTCATTTTCAAACCATGAATTAATGCTGTTTTAATTTTTTGGACACTGCATGAAAATTGTTTTTAAGGGCAATTAAGGGTTTTTATTGGGCAATTCTTTCCTATCTTTTGTTTTTCAAATACTTGCCCTTTTTCTTTGTCTGTGTCCACTATCTTCTCACATGTATGTGTATCATGTAAAGACAGTTTCAAATGTTAAATATTTGCTTTCAAGACAAGTGAACTTTAAAATTAAGACTGTTAGATCTAGAATTTTAACATTGTGTAGAAAAAAGTAAACAATTCTGCACGGTAGCTTATGGCTTATGCTGTATAGTTGTATATGGCATATTATATTTTTCTTTCATTGGCAAGGTAAACTTAAAGCACTAAGTTAACAATAGGCTGTCTTGCTTGTATTCTTACAGTAACTTTCTATTTATTTTGCACATTATTTCACAAGACAGCTGCAATATTATTTGATTTATTTTCACAGCATGTTTTGTTGCGATGGATTCACGTCACATTTTGGTTATCTTTTCAGCTTATTGACACGGGGGTAGAATGTGAGGTAGGCAGCTTAGAGAGTTACTATTCTGAATCATGTCATAATTTTAGACAATCTACACAATGTACATTGTACTGTGTTACTGGTTGGTGGTGTTACTACTGGTTTTTACTTAAAATAATAGTGGTAGATTCTGGTTTAGACTATATATAGTGGTGGGCAATCCATCTAGTAGCACATAGTATTACATTGTGTAAGGTGTCTAGATCAGTACTGCAAATCGGGAAACTTTTACTAAGTTTTTTTAGGGGGTGATCTCTCCACTGCAAAGTCAGTATACCACAAATATGTCTTTGACAAATGACACATTACGTTTCCCTTTTTTAAGTAAAAATTTAAAACACTGTGAAAACCTCATTTTTTCTCTTGTGCAAATCAAACCACAGTGAAAGTTTCATGATTTATTAGTTACTCTTGAACAGAAAGTAGTTATAGATATTCCATACCTACCCTTTAGGACTAGTGACTCCACAAATTATGCAGCAGTGTTTTAACTAATCGTGTTATATATATGCAGTAGAGCATAATCTAGGTTTGATCCTAACCAACTACTAAGTTTGTCCCTTAGTTTACATTTTGTTAGCAATTTGTTCTGTCCATTTTTGTAGTTGTGTGTGTACTGATCCTAGTTGCTTTGTACTTAACTCAAATGAATAACATGTAACACAATATAACAATCATTATGGTGGCAAGGTTTAATGTGTTATCACAATTTGTACTTAAAAATGTTCTGCTCTAGAAAAGTTAAATGTAACTAACTGTTGTTGAGCCTCGGGGCATTTGTCTTCTCATCATTTCTTCTCCTTCTCTTTAGGCCCAGGAACATTCTGTATGTTTCAGCAACCTGCTCTCTGTTTGCTACAGTCTTGTTGTCACTTCATGGTTCTGTAGATTTCAGAGTTCTTTGTGGCCAAGCAGCTTTAACATTCTACAATGCAGTTACATGATTGTACATTTTGTTGTATTTGCAAACAGTTTAGTTTGTAATGCAGCAGTTACTTGAATGTTCTCTCGAAGTCAGCACTGTTCAAAAGGGTCTCTAGAATGCTTTTCAGTCCAGGAGTCCAGTTTCTACAATGTCTAAAAGAACAGGCTGTTTCTTGTATAATTTTTGTCAGAATCTTTTTTCTTTCCTTTTGATCTTCCATTTCAGATTTTATTCATCTTGATTATGAGAACCAACAAATAGAACTGGTTTCGCCTAATCTTCTAACAAAATCTTTTCAGACTGGATGCGTCTCTTTGTGTTCTAGCTTCCGTGCAAAGTTTGTTGATTTCTACCTGTTCACTTTTCCAGCATGTCTTCAACATCGGGATCATGAACGTTGGCGCGCCCGCCGCTGGGATGAATGCTGCGGTCCGTTCGGCCGTCAGAACCGCCATCTTGAACGGACACCAGCCCTACGCCATTTACGAGGGATTTGAAGGCCTTGCAGAGGGAAGAGTAAGTTTTGAAGGGTTAAATTCACTACTTAGGATGAACTTATGCAAAGTTTTTGCAACTTTTTAACAGTTCCTTTTTAATTGTGGAGGCAAACTGTTAAAGTTATATGAGATAAATTTTCTTTAGCTTGTGCCATAAGAATTTATTTCCTAATACTAAACCTTGTCTACTTTTGACTCTAGCTCTTAATTTTTTCAATGGGCAGGTGTAACTGCACTGATATCTGCATGACTGTAGACATGTATCTTAAGCCCCTGTCACACATTGAAGACCTTCCCACTACTTTGCTCACAACTACTCTGCAACCAAGGTTGTTGGGCTGGGAGTAGTTTTTTTTGCCTCAGATTGCATCCAAACCGAATATGACTTTCCTGACTTCCCTTTTCAAAATTCATTGTCATCCTTTGTAGTCTTGCCAACAAACTCCCAACTAAAGCTGACCTTGCTCGCAACTAACTTTCAACCATGGTCTGGAGATGGTTTTGAGGCCATGGTTGTTGATAGCACGTCGGCAGAACGTACTGCACCTGCGCGAAACCGTACATAGCACTTTGGCAGAACGTCTCATTTAAGGTCGTACTAGCGCATATAAGGTTAACATCCCGTCTATAGTTTCCAAATGTTATGTAGGAAATGATATCCTTTGCAACAGGCAAAATTTTGATGCAACGTTGACCAAAAATCCACCGAAAATCGTGAAAATACAGGGTTCTGCACAGGCGCAGTACATTCTGCTGACGTGCTGTTGTTGATTATATACAATGTATGTGTGACAGGAGCTTTTAAACTTCTCCTTGCTGCCTAACCCAGTGTAACCAGTACTAATTTGGCACCAAAAGGCTACTTTAGCAGGGAGAAGGTTAAGATTTTATTGCTTGACAAATAAGTGGGAGTCTTTGAGCCCGCTGGTGTTGGTCTGACTGTCTGCCTTACCCTGCCCCCCTCCCCACAGCTGAAGAAGTTACACTGGATGGATGTGGGTGGCTGGGTTGGCTCGGGTGGTGCAAAACTTGGTGCTAAAAGGTAAGATAGTCTCCTAGAGATAGGCCACAAAAATCTAATTTCTTGGTAAACGAATTTTTCTAGAAAAATAATGGAGCGGGCAGGCGAAAATAAAAAATAAAAACAGGCCTAGGCATCCTATTATGGCCCAAAATGGTACGATAGGAGCCATGAAGTCAACACACCAGGCTGGTTCAAAATTTAAACAATGAATTTTGAACTTTTAATGATACCACTGCAATGAAAGATGGAATATCTGTAACAACTAGGAAGAAAAGGACTGTTCAGGGCAAAATATTAGCATTTTGCAGTTGATTCTGAATTTTTTTTTTTTTTTGCAAATCAGAGAAAAATGAAGCGGGCGAATCCGTTAAACAAGAAATTAAATTGGTGTGGCCTTAGCGTGAAAGTTCATCTGTGTTGGTAGAAGCCATTTCAAAACAGGTTGGAACAGTTACGTAACAGTAACTGTAATTTCTGACATATATAATATAAAATTGGACTTTTTTTCATTGCGCAAATTTTTGACGTTTCAACTCTTGTCTTTGTCAAGGAGTGAACATTCTGCCACTTCTGTGATGTCATGTTATGCAGATAGAACACATGACTCAGTGAGCATTGGATCATATTAAGTAGCAGAAAGTTTTGGTATAATGCCCTGATGTAGATTTTCGTATTGAAAATTACAATTTTCAAACCTGTTTCAGAATGACTTCTACCAACAGAGATGAACTTTCTACAATATTTTTTTACCCCGAAGAGTAACTATGATGTCTTTGCCTCCCAAATTTCCCCCCACTATCGACAGGTTAAAGTGCCCACTTGGATGGATGTGCACACATTGATTTCAGAGGGAGGTTCTTTCTTGGGCACCAACAGGTGAAAAACAACAGACACAATATGGTGTACCCTTATTTGGGGCTGTAAGGCATTTTTTCCTTGATGGGTATTGTGCTGCACATTATGTTATAATAATTGCAATATTATGTTATTGTCTATCAGTGAGTTATATAATGTCATCTGCCATCAATTGTTACCACTGGTACCTAAGGCCACAGCAAGTAAATTTTATGGATGACATCCTCTGTGGACTCCAAATCTAATGTGATAGGGCGAGAAAAAAACAAGAAAACAAGATTCCTTCAGAATCCATAGTTTAGTGCCAACTATTATAACATCCATTTCTCACCAAAACAACTTTGTAAAGTAAAAGCTTTCAATCATAAATGATTCAGTGGGAATGTCACATATACACAGCCACCATCACATATAAAAGGAATGAAACGCATCACTGCATCAAATTAACAGACAAAATCAGAGCCTTTCCTTGTCTCCTCTCTTCATAGTTATCTGCCATCCACGTTCCAGCAAGGCAACAGACATCATTGCCCATTTTCGGCATGTTGACCACTGTCAAAGTGTAGAATTTCTTGTTCTCTTTCCCAAATCAGGTGAAAATTAATGTGAGTGCTGATGTCATCCATAAAAATTAATTGCTGGCATTAAACAAGATGTTGTTGAGACCTTGAGTTGCAAGAATGTCTTGAACACTTGGATACCTGAAGTGTGCATACAGTGTACCTCAGGGATTATTGTTCTTGGCAATGCATAATAGTTAATATTGTATAATTTTTGTTACATGAAGATTGAGAAAATTGTATGTGTGTCAGTTACTGTAAATTGTTTCTCCCCCCAGGACCCAGCCAGCCAAACTTGGACTGCCCCAGATCGCCAGTAAGTTTAAGGAGTTCAACTTGAGCGCCCTGCTTATCATTGGTGGGTTTGAGGTAAGTGGTACATCCCAAGATTTGAATTTCTCTGACTTGATAAAATAAAATAAATCATTTTTTATTTGTAATTAAGTTGTTCATGGAGAAATTTTGCTTAGAGAGGTACAATTTCCTCGTATGGTGGACAAGGAATTTGTAGTTTTGCCAACTGTCCTGTAGGTGAATAGCAGTCTCAGACACATAGCATTAGCAATTCAGTCCAGATAAAAATTGCAAGTTTGATTGCATGATAAAGTTTCATTGAAAGGTAACTCACATATCTGTGGGTTGACTCAGTTCTATGTGAAAAGTCCCTTTGTATTTGGGTCTGCTTTTCTTTTAGTTGGTGCATCAGATTAAAACTTTGACTTTACTGTTATCCACAAGGAATTAACACATTGACTTGACTATTTGCAGGCGTATGACAGTGTGTTACAGCTGGCTGAAGCCCGTCCCCAGTATAAGGAGTTCTGTATCCCGATGGTGGTGATCCCCTGTACCATCAGTAACAACGTCCCCGGTACTGAGTTCAGTCTGGGCACTGACACTGCACTCAACGCCATCACTGATGTAAGAGGGTAGGAGTTTGTTAGAACACAATCAATCAATCAATTAATCAGCCAATCAATCAATCAATCAATCAATCAATCAATCAAAGTGGTTTAGTAGTAGTAGACTAGTTTATTATTAATTTCAGAAGGATTGAAAAGTCCCATGACAGCCCTGAGGCTGAAAAAGTCTACTAGACTCATGCTCAAAATCAAGTAATCAAAAAAGAAACTTGAAACTTGAATTCCATCTTGTTGCACAAAATGGGAAGTAGAGTTAAGATTGAAGGCAGGACAAGGAGAAGAATTACGATGTATTATTATTAAGTGCTAAAGTTAGAATTAGGTGTAAGCATAAGTGGTAATCTATAGCTATTTGTTGTGATCCAAGAAATGTAAAATGTTACAGTTATGCCATTGTGAAACACAACGTTCATTGTTAGTAATAAAACTTAAATTTTGTAATCAATACAAAAACCTCCATATTTGATATTCTTATCATTCATGCACAGATATTTGGCATTTGAATGGAGGTAGTTCAAGGTTAGGATTAAGGTTAAAGATTAGGCATAAAAATGTATTTGATCTGAGTAAAGAGACTCTTTCTACACAACCAAGTCTTTTATTCAGCCGATGTTTCGACTGACGCAGAATTGTCCTGAAGAAGGTAACAGACGGTCACCGAAACGTCGGCTGAATAAAAGACTTGGTTGTGTAAAAAGAGTCTCTCTACTCAGTGACTTACCAACCTGATGAAACTATTCACGGATGTATTTGATTTTTTTGCAGATCTGTGACCGGATTAAGCAGTCTGCCAGCGGCACCAAGCGGCGCGTGTTTGTCGTGGAGACCATGGGAGGGTTCTGTGGTTACCTAGCAACCCTCGCAGGGCTGGCGGGCGGGGCCGACGCCGCGTACATCTTTGAGGAGAGATTTGGCATGAGAGACCTACAGGTGAGCTAAGGCCACACCAATTTAATTTGTTGGTTCTCGGATTCGTCTCTTCATTTTTTTCTGATTTGAAAAAAAAAAAAATTGTTGTGATGCCATGCTTTCTTTCTGCTCCATTTCTGCAGAACGATGTTGAACACCTTGCCAAGAAGATGGTGGAAGGTGTGGAGCGAGGACTGATTCTCAGGTGAGAGAACGACAACTATGGCCAATGAGATCTTAACAAGACTATGCAATTTGATGGACTCCTGCATTCAGGAATCATTAACACCATACACACCTTTCCTTGGTGTTTCACAGGTGAACATAGCTGTCCTTGGTGCTGAACACATCCACACACAGGAAAAGACACGTGTCGTTGGTGCTGAACACCATCCACACACAAACACACCTGTCCTTGGTGCTGAACACTATCCACACACAAGCAAACATACCTGTCCTTGGTGCTGAACACCATCCACAAACAGGAAATCACATGTTATGTCCTTGGTGCTGAACACCATCCACACACAGGCAATCATGCCTGTCCTTGGTGCTGAACACCATCCACACACAAACACACCTGTCCTTGGTGCAGAACACCATCCACACACAAGCAAACACACCTGTCCTTGGTACTGAACACCATCCACACACAGGGAAACACACCTGTCCTTGGTGCTGAACACCATCCACAAACAGGCAAACATACCTGTCCTTGGTACTGAACACCATCCACACACAAACTCACCTGTCCTTGTTACTGAACACCATCCACACACAGGCAAACATGCCTGTCCTTGGTACTGAACACCATCCACACACAGGGAAACACACCTGTCCTTGGTGCTGAACACCATCCACAAACAGGCAAACATACCTGTCCTTGGTACTGAACACCAACCACACACAAACACACCTGCCCTTGGTGCTGAACACCATCCACACACTAACACACATTCTATTCCACATTTGAAATAAAAGCTTTGCTTTTCCACTGTTTACTAGAAATGAGAAGTGCAATGAGAACTACACCACTGACTTTATCTACCAGCTGTATTGCGAGGAGGGGAAAGGCTTGTTCTCTGCACGAAAGAATGTCCTCGGACACATGCAACAGGTTAGTGTTAATTTTTACGTTTACGGAAGGAGAACATATTGTTTTTGCTCTGTTTCTTCCTCTTCAAACAGTGACCTCTGACCTGACCAATGACATGATTTGTTGACATCTGTCACCATGGTGACTGGTGTTGGGCTACATAATGTTGCAATTTCATGGTCTGCCCTACTCCTGTCACCATATATATATACTCATAGTACATGTATGTGAATGTGTTTTAGTAAGAATTAACAGAGCAGACTGTGTCCGAAGGTAAACATTATGCATTTGCTTTGCAAATGTTACTTCTCTAGTTTTACAACATTCTTTTTATTGTGGTGGGGTCAAATGCTTGAGCAATTAGGCTAGTAGACATGAGGTTGAGAAGGCTATGGAACTTCTTTTACCTTATTGTTCCCTTTTACTTTCTTCTGTGCCACATGGTTGTGTTGTGGGACAGTTACTGTCCCAAACTCAGCAGACAGAATGTGATCATACATAACACAGCAAATAAAGTGATCAACATCGTCAACAAGAATAAGAAAGAGGGTTGGAATTTTATGGGTCCTTGATTCAGTAGCTGGATTTTGTAAAAAATTGATGGTGACAATACTGACATACATGTTATGTCATGTCTGCCATGTAGATCAATAAATATTGATTGATTGATTGATTGGTTGGTTTATGATTGATTGGTTGGTTGGTTGGTTGGCTGGCTGGCTGGCTGGCTGGCTGGTTGGCTGGCTGGCTGGCTGGCTGGCTGGCTGGCTGGCTGGTTGGTTGATTGATTGATTGATTGATTGATTGATTGATTGATTTTCAGGGTGGGTGCCCGTCACCGTTTGATCGCAATCTGGGCACAAAGCTGGCAGCCAAGTCTGTGGCCTTCCTGGCTGAGAAGATGCACAACAACTACAAGGAGGAAGGTAAAATCAGACAGAATCTTTATTCAGACTGGAAAGGCCAACATTTGCTTGGGAGCAAATACAGCATATTTCAGTCCATCTCCCTCCCACGCAAAAGTGGACTATTCCAAACTTACCCCAGTGCAAAACTGGCAAAGGTTCTCAAATAAATGAATTAAATAGTAGCTATGTAATTGAGAGCAAAGATGCAAGAACAAGCAGGAGAAGAAGAAACATGAGAGAACACAATATATTTCATCCATGCCATGGTATGGACTGAAATATAATAAAACAGGACAGAAGTAGGTGGCCTTTTGCCATATTCAAACAAAAGTTAACCATTTGGACTGTTTTTTGGCGGCGTCTCAGGGAGGAGCCTAATGGTACAGTATTGTGTGCAGTTTGCAAGAATTCTAGGAATGGTACAGGCATTTTGTCCACAGGCATGCGGAATGTCCACAGGCATTTCTCTGACCCACATCTATGCCCACATTCCTGGAAACCCTTGGGAAGACCTGTCTGCCCCAAATGGCCCTACTTTCTGTGACCCTGGGGCTTGTTCACTATAGACTCAGAGGAGAAGTGCGCTGTATCTGTCTAGACTTAACAGATACCAAGTCTTCCTCAAAATCATGAAATGATGGCAGTACCATGCAAACAATAACCCTAACAGCAACCACCGTCGCCATGGCAATGTATGTTTTCAGTGCCAGTCTTGTTTGCTGCTAGTCTTAGACTAGATCCGTTCCATTTAGTTAATATGCTCCTTCTAGATGTCACTTTGACCTTCTAGATGTACCGGTACTTCGGTATTTTTGACGTGTGGAATTTTGTGGTACTGTACCGGTATACAACCAGTATGCAGCTCTATTTAACACAGGTCCCTAATGTTTCCTCAGGTGGACGTGTAGTTGTGGAGTGTAATGAAGAGGACACGGCGTGTCTGATTGGACTCAACCGTAGAACTGTCCAGTTCAGTCCAGTCACCCATATCAAGTCCCAGACGGACTTCCAGTAAGTATAGCTTCATTCTGCAGGGGTCAGAGTGCAGAGGTCAGAGTGCAAAGTGCAAAGTAGTATGGGGACCTCACTTTTAGTTAGGCCACACTGTCTTAATTTTATGGATGACATCCTCTGAAGATCTCCAAACTAGTGTGCGCGGGCAAATAAGAAAAATTCCCCCCAAAATGCTGCTAAACCACAGGAATACAAAGCTGGTATTGTGAATTTGCTGTAGTACATAGCGACTTTTATGACAATCCAGTACATGCTGGCTTTTTGCGGCAGTTATGAGTCGGTACTGTACTGAATTCTTGAGTTATGTGGAGCTTCAGCAGCCTGGATGCCGTCCTCCATAGTTACCGCCGGCTCCATATTGTCACTACCTACCATGAACTACAGAGGAGGTGATTTTTTTTAGAACAGGCGAAAATCAATGCGCGCATGGATGTCATCCATAGAATTGAATTGGTGTGGCTTAATGTTATTCTTGGACCACACCAATTTAAATTCTTGGTTCTTTATTAGATTTTCCCAAAAATTAGATATGCCTGAGATGCAAAATCCACCCAAAAGTTCATCAGCCAAGAAATTGAGTTGGTGTGGGCTTTATGATTTTGCGTAGTATTAAGAACTGCAGCTCCGGAAATACACAAATGAAGAATGTTGGTTTTGGATCTAGTGTAATGACATTGTGGTATGTACATGTACTAGTAGTATAAATATGAAATATATGTCAGACTCCATCTGGTACAATCAGCAATTTTACTAGTAGAGGTAACGATCATTAAGTTTTTTGTCGACAGAGACTTCAATCAGTTAATTACAAAGTTACTGCCGTTTGAGTCACTGTAACAGTAATAGTAATATGATAGTAGTATTAAGTCAACTCTCCAGAAATTGACCTTTTTGCTTATCTTCATTAATGTTTATCTTCAAGGTTATGTAATATTATATCCACCGCTTTGAAAAACTGTGTGTTTGAGAGATCTCAAGTGCCAGATATACAATGTACAGCTGCATTATACTGTGGGATGTTGCATTGGAAATCTCTTTAGACATATTTTTCAGGGTGACAGATGTCCGTAAGGGATCATAAAATCTACCAATCTGTTAAAGCAAATACACCACATCACTCCAAGCACAATTCACATTCCACATTTGCTTTTGAAATCATAATATTCCCTAGTTTTTATATAATATAATTGGTTTAAAGTTGTACTTTAAACAACACAAAAATCTTGACATGGATAAAAAACTCATGAAAATTTGCTTTAAAACAAAAGTCTCACAATTTGACCACAAACAGCAAATTTGTAGGTCTTCTTTTATGATAAGAAAACGGAAACAATAATAGGCTGATATTTTTACTTATTTGACATAATTTATGATTTCATATTCATTTGTTGCTATTCTGAAGGATAACCAGGTGGGCTGGCTTTTTACATAATCATGACAATTGAGCTTTTAAAGAAGTTGTCACAATAATTTTAGTTGCAAAGACACATGTATGCAAAGCTATAATCTAATATGTTATTTGCACTTGTTGTGTTAGTACTTGTGTTTGTCATTTCAAATGGTTGGCTGTGTGCTGATTGGCTGTAACCAGGGCTTTGCAAAGGCAGCTGATTGGCTAAGCAATCCCAGCATTTTCATTGGCTGCAACTGCTTATGACTGTTTGTTACATGCATGCTGATTGGCTGATTGGGTGCTTTGCTGATTTGATGCAAAACTTGAAGGTAAAAGAGAATCTTTGTAACAGTTTACATTCCTGGATTGCTAATTAGTTAATTATTTTCCCCTTCGTTAAGAGATGGGGTAACGAGAACAGTCAGTATTGAAGAGGCCGAGGAGCATACCATGACCACAACCCTAACGCCTGTCACACACCTTAAGGCCTGGTCTGACTTTAAGTGAGTTTAAGATTCCTTAGAGTACATGTCAACCACCTATAGTGTCCACTCCTGTTCTGTAGCTCTAGGATGGACACCAGTCTAAACCACCTATAGTACCTAGACTCTGCCCATTGCACAAAGATACCAATACCAGTTGTAGCAACCCACTAGAAGTTAAGCTTTCAAAACCCTCAATCTTTAACAGTATGTAACATGTCGGGGTTTCTTAACACAATGTAGTTGCAGAAAAAAAATCTCCACTGTGACATTTGTCATCAGTAACAACTTAGATTTTGAATGATAGGAAAAACCTATTATTATATAGTAACTGGGTACAGACTATGTCAGTATCTAATAAGAAACCTGAACTAAAATATGGGAGATTGCTGAATCATATTGTACTGGATCAGCTACATTCAATCATATATCAGTCATAGTGTTTTCCCTATAATGTACTATGCAATTCAAGAGTAAGCACACAGACAAAATGAAGATTCCAAATATTGAATGCCAATTAAACAAAATAATATAAGAGTCTGACTCACTCTTGCACAAGCCTTCCCCCCTTTCCTACTTACCAGTATCATATACCATATACACTCATCCACTGTAGGTATATAGTGCGTCACTCTCTTGATAATTAGGCCATGTTGATTTGATTATATGGATGACATCCGCGCGCGCATCAATTTTCGGCCGTTTCCAAAAAAAAAAAAAAAGTTTTCAACCATGCTGCAAATCGTTCAAAACAGATGCAAAAATGAGCAAATATATACCGTAAGTTGCCAAAAAAATATTCCAAAATGATACCATTGTCGTAGAATGCCAAAATCAAACGAAAAAGATGAAAATGTAAAGAAATAAATTTAAAGATTATATTATTCACCATACCATACTCTTTGTCATTTGTTTAACCTTCATAATCACTTAGATTTCATAATGAAAGAAACTTTTTTTTTTGTCAAACTTTTCTTTTATTCGCACGCTCGCATCAGTTTTAGGGTTCTCAGAGGATGTCATCCATATAATCAAATCAATATGGCCTTAATATGATGCAGCCTTGCAGCTTCAGCACATATATGCCATTGCTAATTCTTGCTCTTTAGCTACACTTATCTATGTCTACTCTATGTTGTAATGTTATCCCACTTCTTCAGTAACTTACAAATTCCTGCATATTAATTTTCACTTCAGATTTGATGGAAATTCCACACTCCAAACAAATTACAGCAAAGATAGTCCATAAAATGTACAGAAGACCAAAGAATGAAATTAATGCATAAAACGTAAAGAATTAAAACACTTCAGTTGGTTGTCGAACCCCTACATGTTACAAGATGAAGACTGTCTGTCAACTTTCTTGTAGTGTTTTCCTTATCTATTGACTTGTAATCATATCAATAATCATATTTATCAATAATTATGAATATTAGATTTATTGATTTTGTATAATCAGTGCTAGATTTGTAGACTTAGTAAAGTTAATTTTGTAATCAATTCTAGATATATCAACTCTAGATATAACATCCATGTCCATAATATCACCAGGGTCCATAATATCGCCACCTTGAGAAATAGTATGCTTTAAGATATTTTTACTGCAACATACTTTTGGTATGCACTCCTGCACACCTCAAATGTGATACATGTACCTAGGGTATGTTGCAGTAAAAATATCTTAAAGCACACTATTTCTCAAGGTGGCGATATTATGGACTATGGTGATATTATGGACATGGATGTTATCAGTTTGAGCTACATTGTAAGCTTAATCAACTTTGTAATCAATATCTAGTCTACTATGATCAACTTTGTAACCAGTACTTAAGGGAACCAGAAAACAACTGTTCTAGTTCCAGTTGGTCTCTCTGTCCAGTGATCCTTTTCCTTCTTTCTTTGTGTTTTTCTCTTCAACATTATGATATGTCATTGTTGACTTTCTTTCCAGCGTAATGTACAGTACAATAATGTGTCTTTTGTATTTTTGTCGTCTGATTGACTCACTGTATCAACCAATCACAGCTGTGCAAAATTAATGAGCCTTTTACTTGGCGATGCAACTTAGTCATTTTCTACTACCATCCTCCTCAAGCTCATCATTCTCACCATTTTTGTCATTCCCTAAAATATTTGGATCAAACAAGAGATGGGATATTATATTTATAGTTAACCTTTAGAAATGTCTGATTCATGATTGTTGAACATCATTTTCCTGTTAAATTTTTTATCCTTGAAGTTATGAACGAACACATTATTGCACTTCCATGCTAATGAGGCTGTTTCTGTTATGTTTTAAAATTTTCGCCAGGCACCGCCTACCACGGGAGCAATGGTGGCTGAAGCTGCGCCCGCTTCTGCGAATCCTCGCCAAACACGAGAGCGTTTACGAGGTTGAGGGAACGGAGGGAAGCATCGAGTGAAACCAACGAGTCACGATAGAAGAAAAAAAAACGCGTGTGTGCATTTTCATCATCGCTGGAACCTGGTGCTGTAGTGTGTAGCAATGTTTCTAGCTTGCCATCCCCGAAACCTAAAGTGGACCACTCCATGTAAGCAGCATGTCAGAGGGAAACTAGAAGATACCATTGCAACATACAGGGGTGGTTAAGGTGGTTTCAGTATTATGAACCCAAGACTTTTAAGGTGGTTGACTTTTCAGAAACGGAAGTCCCAAGCATGGTAAATATTAATGTACAGAGTGTTGTATAGTGAATTTTGAAGTTCTGCTAGCAAATACTGTATTTCAAAGTTGATTAAAAGAAATAAAAGACAAGGAAAGAAGTTATAACAAAAATTGCCTTACAAAGGAAATAGAAATAAGTAGAAACATCTTTTTAAAAGATTTTTCTGTGGAAATGATTTACTATAAAGAGGTCAGATAAAAATGATAATAACTAAAACTAAGAATTGTTTTGCTTATGACAAAAGCAATAGGAAAAAGAATATGGATATATGAGAATAATATGGACAAGAGAACATGTGGTAAGAAAGCATTTGGGATTCAATGCTGCAAAAGAAAGATTTTTATAACTGTTCCAATACATTGTATGATGTAATCCAAGAATAACACTATACAGATAGGCAGACAGTTATATTCAACTCCTGGGTCAACCCATTCAACCCACAATGATTTTGCATGGGTAAAATTTTTCCCTCAAAGGCAATTTTTTTGCCAAATTTGATTCATCCAAAGCCAGTAACTTTGAGACAATAACGGATAACTTCTTAGCAATAATCTTAATAAATTTCCCTGGACTGAGTTTTCAGAGGACAATGTAACTCAGATTCAAGTCTTTACCCCACTGGCTAGTCTCTACCAGGCTCTTTGGGCTGCTGGAGAAGCACTGGAAATTAGCCAAATGGTAGCCTCCACCAGGCCTTCCTAAGGGGCTATATGCATGTTGGAATTTGACCAAAAAAAGGGTGAGTTTTGGCCAGGGGAGTGAGCCTGGGCCATGGTTATAAGTGTAACATATACCCCAGTGCAGCAAAACAAAAAAGGTTTTTGGAACATGGTCAGTCCCTCAGGCCTATAGTATTATGAAAAAGATAATAACTTGTACTTGTGTGATGGTACTACATTTGTATAGTATAATGTTGTCACTGAGTTAATTGGGTTGGTGGAAAAAGGAGTCCAGTCCGATTGTCGGAAAAAGCAGTCCAGTCCGATTTGGGGGTGGAAAAAGCAGTCTGGTGGTTTCTACGAAATTCTACGAAAGACCACAGGCACATTTTTTTTCTTGTGTGTGTACTTCGAGTTTCTATGGGTACTTCGAGTTTCTATGAGTACTTCGTAGAAACCGCCGGACTCCTTTTTCCACCCCCAAGTCAGACTGGACTGCTTTTTCCGCCAATCGGACTGGACTCCTTTTTCCACCAACCCGAGTTAATTGGGAGGTTGACTTATATTCTACGAGCAAAAGTACATATTAGATGGTGTACAGTGAGGTATTTTATAGTACAGTGAAAGCATGTTTTATTTTGTATATCCCTGTGCTGCTACATGACATTGTATGTCTATGATCCCCAAAGCAAAAGACAATAGATGTGATTGTTAGTATGCTTTATAATGTTGCAACATGCAAATTACTGAAGTACGTCTGAAAATCCAACATATTAAGAAAAAAGACTCCCTGTTAAAATGTTTAAAGAAAAAAATGTAGGTAAGTCAGAATATCATTATGTATCAATTGTAAGTTTATTTGAGCAATTACATCAGTTACATTGTGTTCAACATACTGAATTGATGTTGCCACAGTACAAAATGTTGAAATAGCTTCAAAACCCTACCAATAATTTGCATATGTCCTCAAATAATTTGCATGTATATGATGTGAATGAAAACAGCGAGAAAATAGCAAGATTAAGTGCATTGTGTTAGGTTGCATTAGACATTAGAGTACTTTGAGGCCTGTTGTTACACATGAAAATATATGTTGTGCACTATGTTTTGCTATGTAATGTTGGTGTTATACTTGATAGTTTAACATGTGCTATTGCACGATTGGTCTGTATAGTATATGAAGTATATTGTTTAATTTAGTGGCATGGCTGCTTAGCTGTGAAGTGCATGAAATGCAAGAAATTTACTTATAAAAATTTATTAAACGGATCATCACAATGCAAGTAATTCACAAGTATTTATGTTTACTGTTTAGTATCATTCATAATGTTGACTATGCTTCTTTGCTATTTTTGTCAATGCCTAAGGGACCTAGCATCTTTTCAGATGCCTCAGGGGCAAAGGAATTTATTTTCCTTAAAATCTTCTCTTACTGTCAAACTTTTCTCTTTATATCCAGTGTTTTATTTCTCGGAGCTGGAGTTTCTGTAGACTTGCCAAGGTAGTCTATTCTAAGAGTCTTGAAGTTTGCAAACACTTAAGTTTGTATCAAGGGACTATAAGATTCTCAGACATTGGTTTGTGTCCTGTTTAGTGTATTTATTTGCCTTTGGTGATGGCAAGAGTGGCACAAAAAGGTGGTAGTGCACAGATTTGAAGTGAAAGATTATGAATTTAAGCCATTGAAGGGGCGTTTCACATTGTTCATTTATTTCAATACTGTTTAGCCATTTGGCTATATAGTCTTGCAGGGTTCAAATAGAAACATACATGTCACACATATTGGATGTCTGATTGCAGCAGTTTTACAGCATTAGTGAATAAAGTGGGAAAATTTGGAAATCCGTTACTTACTTAAATCCGTGTTTTATTTTCAATATTGATTTGATTGAATAATGGCGATGAATTAGGCAATGGCACATGCAGTCCTTGAGTTTCTGAGTTCCTACACTGTATAATTCACTTCCAGTCAGCCTATGGGGAGACAATTTTGACTTCCAATCCGACCTTCTTGTCAGTCTGCGGTTACACCATTTCCCCCTCAGTTTTTTTTGTGATTCTACTGCATGCAAATGATTATACGGAAACACAAGCAAATAGAGACAAACGTGCCGAGTACAAAACTTTGCACCGAGGTAACCCTGTGGGGATATCATTTTGACTTCCTGTCAGTCTGTGGTTACACAATTCCCCCCTTACTTATGATTCTACTGCATGCAAATGTTGTACGGACACAAAAGCCGAGAAAGAACTTAGGTGCACTGAGGTTACCCCATGTACTCCCCCAACATACGTAACAACCACTTGTTACCCTGGGAATGTGTTGACAAAGCGTAACGTTTGAACTGACGTAACGTTACACGGGCTGGGCACGGGGGCAAAGGTCACAAGTCAAAGTCCACCTGTTGCAAAAGTCGTCCGAACGGGAACAGGTCTGGCGAATTTGGGACATTATCTGTCAAAGTAAGTACATTTGTCACAATTTTTTTCTGCTTTGAAAATTATATGATTATATATTCATGATTGCATGAGTCGGGCCTCATGTCAGCTACACCCAAGTAGTTTTTTCCGATGAAATTAGATGTGCCAAACTAATAAATTAGAATAATAATTGATACATCTTTGCAGTTAACCCGTCACCAGTAGCCTTAACACAACGTCAACCCCGCTAACGTTACTTATTACACACAATTACACGAACTTGGCTATTGCTTCTAAGGTACGTTGTACATTGTAGTACCATTATTTCTGCTAAAAGATGTGTGCTAAACTAGTGATTGCTGTACATGTAAACAATGAGATTAACGTCTTTAGAACACATAAAATTAGTTGTTTTATGTTCCCTTCTCGGTTATCCTTTTTTCCCTTTTTTTTTTTCATGTACAGGTTACTAACAAAGCGCAACGGCTGCCAATAATCCTACACTGTAGGGCTGGGCAGAAATGAAGAAGAAGAAGAAAGTGGACTATAACCTCCTTCGTGTATCTTTGCAGTTAACCCTCCACAACCCAAGCCCGTCATGAGCCGCAGACGTGTAGCGATTATCGGTGCAGGTGTCTGCGGACTGACGTCAGTCAAGGCCTGTCTGGAGGAGGGGCTGGAGCCGGTCTGTTTCGAGAGACACGATGATATAGGTACGGTACAGTGGGGTAGAACAAAGAAGAACTATAAATCTGAACGCATACTTAAATATATATATACGACTTCGCAGCCAGAGAGCTCAATTGCAGCAGTGTACTACACTACACTTACCATTGTCTTCTTACCAAAGAAGCAAATTGAATGTATTGTCTTGGTGTCTCTTCTCTCCCTCATTCTCTCTCTCTCTCTCTCTCCCTCTGTCTGTCTGTCTGTCTGTCTCTCTGTCTCTGTCTGTCTCTCTCTTTTTATCTCAGTGATTCCCCGTTTGTTTGAATGTTTATTTGAAATGTGATTTCAGTGATTCCCCTTGTTTATTTATTTATTTGTTTGTTTGTTGATTTTATTTCGTTTCCTAGGAGGAGTTTGATACTACAGGGACCACGTCCGTCCGGAGCAAGGTTCAAGTGTGTACAACTCTCTCATCACTCGTGTTCAGTGATTCCCCTTGTTTATTTATTTATTTGTTTGTTTGTTTTTCCTAGGAGGAGTCTGGTACTACACAGACCAAGTCCGTCCGGAGCAAGGCTCGAGTGTGTACAACTCTCTCATCACTAACGTCAGTAAGGAGTCTTCGTGCTTCAGTGATTTTCCGTACCCCAGAGACTACCCAGCGTACATGTCCTGTCACCAGCTGCACAGATACCTCACCCAGTACGCCGAGACATTTGGACTGAGAAAATACGCCAGGCTCAACACTAAGGTTCGGAAAATGTTCATCCAACTTTGCATATTTATCTCTGTTGTATCCAGAATCGTGTTTTGTTTAGAACCATGCATTCAAGCGCTGTTTTGGATAGTCCACGCGTATCCAAAACCGTACACGTTTATGGGGGAAAATATACGGTCTTGGATACGCACAGACTATTCATAAAACTTGATAAGCACAGTTCTGGATCCAACATTGTTGGAAATATTCCTTCCATGTGACATTATTACGTTCGTAAGTAGAAAGACTAGATCAGCACCAAGGACAGGTCTGACTAATCTCCAAACAGATGTTGGAATCTTTTGTTTTCATTGTGTTTGTGTCTATTTTTTGTGTGTTTGTAGTTATTTGTACAAATAAGTAAATGGACAGGAAGTGTAGGGAAAATGGTGCAACCACAGATTGTCAGGAAGGTTAAATTGGAGGTCAAAATGGTTTCACATCGAAATGGTACAATGGTCGCAATGTTTCATATCTTCAGTTTCCTGCTATATTTACACCGTTGTTGCTTTATGCTTATTATGTTTACTGTAGGAAAACATATTGTTTTTGCTCTGTTTCCTCTTCTTCTTCTCCAACAACTAGGATCAATCACCTAAACCACACGTCTGTCGCCATGGTATCTAGTGTTGGGTTACATAATGTTGCAAATTTATAGCAGGTGGGATTTAGACTCATATGACTCATAAGAATTAACAGAGCAAACCATATGCGAAGGTACGAAAACATAATGCATTTGCTTTGAAAATGATATTTTTCTATACTGTTCATTCATATATAAGGTAACTGAAGTGCGCAAGGCCGAAGACCACGTGACCTCAGGCCGCTGGATCGTGTCTTCGGTCAGCATGACGGCGGAGGGATCTTTCAAAGAGGAAGAGTACGACGCCCTTATGGTGTGCAGCGGTCCATTCTCCAAATCCTTCACGCCGAACTTTCCTGGACTAGACCATTACTCAGGCCTGACGATCCACAGTAGGGAATATAAAAGTCCGGACCTGTTTAGGGGGAAAAGGGTTCTAGTGATAGGTGAGTGATCGTCAAAATGTATTTCTAGCCTTTTACGGGAAACTTTCATATCCATGCTACATTTGTAGGATAAAGGTTGATCAAAGTCTTCTGCAAAATAAACAAAAAAGAACTATAAAAATGTGCACGAATGGGAAAACAAGAAAATTTTGTGCTGATCATTCAATTGATATGTTAAAGCAATGATATCAATGATTAATGGTAATCGTGATACCAGATGTAGACATACTTTGTCTTAAGTTGTTTAAATTTCAACGTGATTTACTAGTAATAAAGGGTTAATGCCCCGCCCCAAGGTGTATATGGTGAGATAAGCCCTGGTCAGGTACGATAACCACCGAATAAACCACCGAGTGAGCGTAGCGAATAAGTTGGTTTATGAACCTCTGAATCTACACATCTTTCCCCAGGGGCGGGAAACTCAGCCGGTGACGTTGCAGTCGACGTTTCTCACGTTGCTTCTAAGGTAAGGTTTTTTTCCACTTGAACCGAATTGATTCGCTTTGATCCGGACAATTTTATCCTATTCTACCCTGGATGCCAAACTAGTATCGGGCCGTTACGTTAGCCGTTGTCCTTCGGCAGCCAAGAGCCCTTCGCCCGCCTATCTAAATTACCGCTACGGGGGAGTTGAGCCCGAGGGGTTTGTCCGGCCCTATTACTATGTGAGCGGAGCTTTGACAGCTAAGAGAGACTACACCAGACTCGTTTGTAGGGCCAGCCAAACTCCCCCCGGGCTAGACTCCCCCGTATACGTAGCGGTAATTTACACCAGCGGGCGAAGGACTCTTGCGGCCCGGAAAACGAGTTCTGGCTTCCAGGGTAGTCCTATTCCCATTGAATCGCAGCTGTATCTGAGTATGCGGGATGGCACGTGGATCTACCCCCGCCTGTCCCACGGAGGCACGCCGATAGACATGCTGGGTTCCCGGGGATTCCTCCCGTACCCTGCCGCACTCAACACGCACAGAAGGCGGCAGACTCTGGCAGAACACGTCAACCAGACTAACTACGGACTGGAGACAGACAAGGACATGTACGAACACGTCATGGTCAACGACGAGCTGCGATTCTGTCTCATCAACGGGAAGGTACACGGGCGTTCTGATTCAAATTCTAAGCAATGAAGTGGAGAAATGTTGTGTTTTGTGTGTGTTTGTGTATGTCTGTGTGTGTGTATTTGTACCCTCTCTCTGTGCATGTTTGTGTTTATGTAGGTGTATGTTTGTGCCCTCTCTCTCTGTGCATGTTTGTGTGTTTATGTAAGTGTATGTGTGTGAGTGTGTGTTTGTATGTCTGTGTATGTGTGTGTGCGTGTGTTTGTGCCCTTTCTCTGTGCATGTTTGTGTGTTTATGTGTGTGTATGTGTGTGTGTATGTGTGTACCTCTGTGTGTGTGTGTTTGTGTGTCTATGTGTACGTATGTGTGTCTGTGCCTCTTTCACTCTTTCTATGTGTGTTTGTATGTATGTTTGTGTGTGTGTGTGTCTCTCTCTCTCTCTTTGTGTGTGTGTGTGTGTGTGTGTGTGTGTGTGTGTGTGTGTGTGTGTGTGTGTGTGTGTGTGATATCCACAATCTAATGTAGAACACATGATGCTATCGTCTTGTGTACTCGAAGGGTCGCATTACAAAGCAGTCTGTGTCAGGAAAAATAATGTTTTACCTTGAAGGTTTTGTTGAGACCTGGAGTGACGAAGTTTACCCGCACGGGGGCGCTTCTGGCTGACGGTACCATGTTGGAAAACATCGACGCTGTTGTGTTCGCAACCGGCTATAAGGAAGCCAATGTTTCTTACTTGGATGACTCCATCCTCGCAAGTAAGACTGATATCGATTGGTTTATACATTTTTCACATTTCTTATCAGCAAATAAAGTCCTTTAATTTCTATGATAAGGCTAAAATGGGTTCCATTCATGAACGCTATACCCGTAGCCTCTACCAGGCTTCAGAGGCAACAGAAACAGTAGCAGTTGGCTACATTGAGACAAATAACGTGCCAGGGGAGTAAGTCTGCCACTCTGAACGACAATGTGTACTCCCATAGGAAACTGTACTGCATTAGCTGACTAACTCCTTTGTCGTGCTATCGTAACTTCTCTACCAGGCTTCGTGAGGCGGCTGGATAGAGCTCGGCCAAATAGAGAGATAATATGCCAGGGGAGTTGGTCCGCTAGAGATGCGGCAAACTGTACTCTCTAGCCGACCAACTCCCTTGGAATGTTATCTCTCTATTTGATCGATTCCTACTCTTCCAGCAGCCTCCCGAAGCCTGGTAGAGGCTAGTGCTATCTGTGTATTTGGCCAATTTCTACCATGTCCACCGCCTCTGAAGCCTGGTAGAGGCTAGTACGGAACACAGGCTATTACAAGGCACAGCTAGCATTCAATGCCAATGGATTTGAAATCTAAGGCTATATAAAACGTGATTTTTCCGTGACAATTCAACAAGTATCGAACTATCATGAAGAATAGATAAAACAATTATGAAGACTAGATATTAAGGAGTATTATGTAGTAGTATAGAGAATTTCCTTCATAAGACGTTTTCAAGAAAGTGTTGAAATAAATAATTCCAGAGGATCCCACGAAGTTGGACCTGTACAAGCTGGTGTTCCCCGCCAACATGCCCCACCCCTCCATGGCGGTGATTGGTTTCTTCCATGTCCGAGGTTCCATCCCACCGGTGGCCGAGGTCCAGGCCCGATGGGCTGCACGGGTCTTCTCGGTAAGCCCATGGCACACATTGATTTAATTATGATTACCGAAGGAAAACATAATGTTTTTGCTCTGTTTCTTCTTGTTCTTCTCCAAATCGATAAGGTCAATGACCTGAACCAGACGTCTGTCACCTTGGTAACTGGTGTTGGGTTACATCATGTTGCAATTTTATAGCAGGAGGAATTTAGATTCTTGTCACCATACATGTATAGTGTCCTTTGGAAAGCCGCTTTTAACGACTTTCCTTACTCTATCAAGGTGTAAAATGGGTACGTGACTTGGGGGACGTAAAAGGCAGTGGAAGGAGGGGGATGGGCTCTGCCGTACATTACCGTGCCCTAGACACAGTGGATTGACAATCTACTGCCTCTATAGTATCGAAAAGTCTATAGGGATACCTTTAGTTACCTTTTCCCTTAACTCCCCAAGCAAGGTTGGCACTGGATTGGAGTAGTCTTGAATATATCCAATTCTACCACTGGTTTTCCCCTCTGATTTGCATCCAAACTGAACTGGACTTTTCTGAAAGTTGACTGATTTTCATGTTTTTAACTTTTTGCATTCAAGGGACAAGCCAAGCTTCCAGACCGGCAGACAATGCTAGCGCGCGTGCGCAGAGACAGAGAAGAAAGACTTCGGATCCTGGGGAAACATATGCGGAATAAACTACCGGTAATAAACAAAACAAACAAACAAACAAACAAACAAACAAAACATACAACTCACTTGCATCTTACTGTTCAAGATAAAATGAAAATTAGAATCTTATGGAGGCCTTAACAGTAATGTAAGGAAATTTTGACAGACGGTCTTTCCTTTCTTGTAAAAACCTTTTATGAACATTTATGGTGAAAAACATAATCATATGTCAAAAGACGTCGATGAGTGGCTAGCATACTAGTAATGTGAGTGAAAAAATGGTTACAGGCTAAATTTTGAAAGTTGGTCAATTGAAGAAACGCTTTTAAGTGCCATAGATAGAACAGACAATGGCACAAAATGTCAGCAATTGATCGTTTTTACTTAATATGTCAACCTTTTACTTTAATTCATTAATTAAAAATATCATTCTTCGTTCAACAGAAGATTGGTGTGATCCCCTACCGTGACGAGATTGCGCGGGAAATCGGAGCCATGCCGACTTTCTGGAACCTTTTCCTCAAAGATCCCATGTTGGCCTTTCGAGTCTACTCCCAGCCGCCTTTGCCGGCCCACTACCGCCTTGTAGGGCCCCACCCGTGGCCTAAAGCGCCTGAATACACCAAGGAGGCTGTAGCCAACACCTTCTATAGCCTGAGGCATGCCGGGAAGGCATCTACGTCAGCAAACAAGATGGCGGCGGTTTCTTCGATTTCAGTCGTGTTTATTTTTGTTGCTCTAATGGCCATTGTGTTGCGTTTTGTAATGTAACGTTTTGTCACGCTACTTGCAAGGATTTTAGATAACCTGCACGGAAGGTAAGTTGTCTCCAAACCTCAGTGTTACTTTGTTAAAAAGTTTTTTAATTATGTGCAATTGTCAAGTTGATACGAATTGTGTAATATACAGCAAAGCTAACGTTACATGTACAGTTTGTATGCCCAAATATGGTCATCTGTCTATGTACTACTGACACTACAACTACTAAGTACACATTTGTATACTGGTGGCTACAAGGATATGGTAAACCACTAAGTTTTTTGGATACGTATACATGTACATTGTAACTACTGATTACCTAGTATGATGTTCTTCAACTTTATGCTTTAATTTTTAAAGAAAGAATTATGATTGCAAGTTTTCTCTGGCTTGTAAAGATATTGATTGTACATTGACTATTTTGTTTGTTGACATCTATGTGAAATGCTGCATTTCTCTTTGTTATGTGCATGTTACGTGTAATACAACTTAGTCATAATTAAGATATTCCACTTAGTTCAAGTGCTAGTAACAGTGAAAACAACGACTAATTTCATTGTATACTACACACATTGACAGCTAAAAGACTTTCAGATCCATACATTTATTAATGTTTCAAAAAATCCTGTACAATAAATTGATGACATATTTTAATCTCAGTTTACTTCAAATGTCCTACATTGAATTATCATGACTTTGGCTCAAAGGATGGCCAACATTTACACTACATTTATAGTTTTAAAGTTAATCTTTGTTAGTAAAAATTATTCCTGAACATAAAAGCACCTATATCCTGGTGCCATTCTCTGTAGTTACCGCTGGCTCTCTAGTTTTCCTTGCTTTCATTGTGAGCAATCGAAGAAAGATCTAGAGAGGCTACGGTGACTACGTAGAACGTAGAATGACACCCATGTTACATGTAAGGCCATTTTGATTTGATTATATGGATGACATCGGCCGTTTCCCAAAAAAAGTTTCAACCATACTGTAAATCATACAAAACAGTTGCAAAATGAGCAAATATATACCGTGAGTCGAAAAAAAAACATTGGAAAACGATACCAATGTCGCAGAATGCCAAAATTAAGCGAAAGGGACGAAAATGTAAAGAAATGAATTTGAAGACTGGATTATCCGCCAAACTATAATCTATATCATTTGTTCAGCCTTCAAAACCATGTAGATTTCATAATGAAAGCAACTTTTTTGGGACAAAACCTTTTTTTTCGCACGCGCGCATCAGGTTTGGGGTTTCCAGAGGATGTCATCCATATAATCAAATCAACATGGCCTAATGTAAAAAGCGCCCAATCTCTGTCAACATCTATGGACGTGTTGCATCCAAAACATGTACATTTTGTCCCTGTGCACTCGACACAAGGTAAAAATCTTGGATACAGAACCCCCCCCCCCCTTTCTTTTACAACACGTGTGAAAGAGGCCATTTACACATATGGCCGTATAACAATCCGTTAACAGGGACGGGGGGCGACATAGACATTTTATTATCCATTAATTTCACGTGTTCTATCTGCATAGCATAACGTCACAGAAGCGCTTGATTGCCCATTCCTTGGAGTTGGAGAGTCGAAAATTTGGGTAAGTTCAATTTTTCTATTAGAAATTACAGTCCAAATTAGGTTCCGAATACAGAAGGTACAATGCGCGTAATTTTGTGTCTACACTCATTTTGGCATACTGCTTTTTTCTTTATTTAATGTCTATATTTGTCTAAGGTTTGAGTGTATATATCCACCCTTCAGTTCATAATTTAAAAAAGAACATAGAAAATTTACAAAAATACCTTGAAAATGCGTATATACACAGCCTTTTAAAACCCCTACTGACCACCTACTCTACTTTTTCTTGGGCTCTGTAGATCTAAAGAAGGATATTTCCAACGTCGATTTGACATTATGGTCTCTGTGTTATACTAGAGCTAATGGTTTCAAGTGTTTCAAGCGTTTGAAAAAGTGGAGTAACAGCCACTAGTTTAATTCCGGACTTCCAGTTCAATTCCGGACTAATTTCCATATCTCAGCAACCTTACATGTAGATGGGCTAATATTGTAAAGTATACGTAAAATGATGAAAGAAATATGTAGCAGCCAATGAGGACCCCTTAGGGATTAACCCAATTCTGCAGAATTCTGGAACTGCATTCTGTGCAAAATTATTGGGTTAATCCCCAATGGGCCCTCAATGGCTGCTACGTGCACATATTTCTTACATTATTTGTATCTATATAGTTCACAATGTTAGCCCGTCTTGATGTAAGGTTGCTGAGATATGGGAATTAGTCCGAAATTAATTATAAATTGGAAGTCCAGAATTAAACTGAAGGCCGTTGGTATAGAATATAAATGCAGTCTATCCTGGTTAAATCCATAGGATTTCTTGTGCCTCATTTGAAATCGTACAGCTACAATGGTGAACAGTTCTTTTATTTTTAATTTTCTACAATTCTTCAAGGTACCTAAAGGTTTCCTCGTCGATAAAGACGGTTTCAGTTACTTGAATGTAGCTGCCATCTTGTATTAAACGCCTTACACAAAAGCTGTATGTTTCAAGAACGACTTTATAATATCCTTGCACTCTCCAGACAAATTGAAATTGTTCTACGAAATTTGACATGACTTTTAGTGGAGCAAGCTTTGTTGAAATTCACTTGCAATCAAATTGTTGGTTGCAGTTTATGTTTATAAAATTGTCCATATGTTGAAATTGATACACTCAATGGTTATGCTTTTTTATGTTTACCTACGCCGAAGGAAAACATATTGTTTTTGCTCTGTTTCTTCTTCTTCCTCTTCTTCTCCAAACAAATAAGGCAATGACCAGAACCAGACGTCTGTCACCATGGACACTAGTGTTGGGTTATATCATGTTGCAATTTTATGGCAGAAGGGATTTAGGAGTCCTGAATGTGTTTGAGTAAGAATTAACAGAGTGGACAATATGCGAAGGTAAACATTATGCATTAGCGTTGCAAATGTTTCAATGGTTATCTTTGCTGCATGGTCGCGCTGGCGTGCTGCAGAGAAAGTTGTCGGCACTAGGGGGAGCTGCTCCCGTACGGTTGGTGCTGCACGCCGCAGTGAGCCGCCTTCCGCTTGGGCGTCCTCAAACCGGCCCGCTCACGGTCACGGGAACGCTCTGGGACCAATCAATCAATCAATCGATTAATTAATCAATCAATCAATGAACCGACCAATCAATCAATCAATCAATCAACCAACAAACTAACCATAAATGGTAAATCAAACCAGATACATTTAATTTTTACATCAGGGCCCATCTCCCTTCACTCAACCGCGACGGGGGACGACATCGTCTACCAGATACCTTTGACCCAGTGTTGACGTCACACTTCACAGAAGCCACTTGACAAGTCTCACTGGGTCAGTCTACTGAGGAAGACCAGAGTGACTGGTCGAAAGCTCTAGGTGAGAGAACTTCTTTGTGTTTGATCAAAAGTTTTAACTTTAAACATGTTACTACCGACACAGATGAACTTTCATGAGAGTTTGGTCGTTGTTGTGGTAAAAGAAACCTACCAGAGTTGAGTCGCATCTGCGTATGGAGAGGTGCCAGTCTCGGGAGGGAGATGGTTCTCTTCTCGTTACACGGGACTGCTGCGCAGGCGTCGCCAGATTTCTTTTCCTCGCAGTCTGTTCCCTTGTGCGCTGCAAAATTTAAAGATGACATTGTTACATGCTAGAGAAAATTGCAAGCCAGTACATGTGTAGGTCTTTACCCTCCCCTGATAAGTAACGGTTAAGCCCGAAATGGAATATCGAGGTCAGGAAGGCATTCCAGAGGGGAGAGGGGTAGTCTGTCTCAGGGTTCCAGAGAGGTGGGACGTGAAAATAAAGCCTGGCAACTTGCAACCTGAGTCTCCGCTTCTTCAATCGGAAAAGAACACTCTAACAGACATATTTTTGTTAAACATTGTGGTAATTAAGGTAGAAATTAAGGTAACATTTGCAAAGCAAATGCCTAATGTTTATCTTCGCTGCTCTGTTAATTCCTACTCAAACACATCCATATATATGGTGACAGGAGTCTAAATTCCTCCTGCTATAAAATTGCAACATGATGTAACCCAACACCAGTTACCATGGTGGCAGGCGTCTGGTTCAGGTCATTGACCTTATTTGTTTGGAGAAGAAGAAGAAACAGAGCAAAACAATATGTTTTCCTTCCGTAAACATAAAAATAAGCATGTACATTCATACTTATAAATACAGCAAATAGTTTCAACAAAAAACGACGATTTTAAAATACCGGAAGTAACCTTTGACCCACCTGTTGTGAGGGATTCGATAAGGTCAGTGAGATCCTCCATTGCGCATGCCTGGTCATGGACGAACTTCTCCAGTTTCAACCGCTCGTCTCGATCCCGCTTCAGCGCCTTGAACAGGTCTGAAACGATAAACATACATATTTACCTCCGGAAGTATTGCTTTGGGGGGCTGTGTTGTGTGTTGGTGTTAAGCATGTTAAGATCCATTCACACTTATCGAAAAGAGCAGGGGCACTTCCCGGTGTGAGTGGTTCAAACCTCAAAGTTTGGTCTCAGGGACCTGGTTTGAGATCTAGAAAAAGTAATATTCATCTGTCATATTCATACATATATGTGGTAAATCTAAAAAAAAACAAATAAATGTGTTTTGTATTTTTAAAGGATGGTGTGGGGCCCTAAAAGCGTTCATAAAGTTGCTTCTAAAATCTTATTTAGACCAAGATGGCGGACTCCTTACTTTGCTGCTCCTTGTGCAGGCTGTTGACCTCATGGCGAAGTGCCCGGATGCAGTTATGTTCGCCCATCAGGCCATAACTGATCTCCATCTCACAACCCTGGAAGAACATAACAAAGAAATAGACAAAAAGATCAACAACTGATCAGAACTAATGCACGAAATAAGTGGTTAATGATATCATTGACAATTGGGAGGGCTACCAGAAGCGTGGCGCAGTCAGGCTAGGGGCCTGACCAGTGGAAGGGCTGCTAGAAGCGTGATGTAGTCAGGCTAGGGGCTTGACCAGTGGAAGGGCTGCTAGAAGTCTGGTGCAATGGCGGCTAGATGTAGTCAGGCTAGGGACCTGGCCAGTGCTATGGCGTCTAGATGTAGTCAGGCTAGGGACCTGGCTAGTGCTATGGCGTCTAGATGTAGTCAGGCTAGGGACCTGGCCAGTGCTATGGCGTCTAGATGTAGTCAGGCTAGGGACCTGGCCAGTGCTATGGCGTCTAGATGTAGTCAGGCTAGGGACCTGGCCAGTGCTATGGCGTCTAGATGTAGTCAGGCTAGGGACCTGGCCAGTGCTATGGCGTCTAGATGTAGTCAGGCTAGGGACCTCGCCAGTCGAAGGGCTTTTTGAAGAGTGATGTAGTCAGGCTAGGGGCCTGACCAGTGGATGGGCTGCTAGAAGTGTGATGTAGTCAGGCTAGGGCCTGACCAGTGGATGGGCTGCTAGAAGTGTGATGTAGTCAGGCTAGGGGCTTGACCAGTGGAAGGGCTGCTAGAAGTCTGGTGCAATTTCGGCTAGATGTTTGACGTAGTCAGGCTAGGGACCTGACCAGTGAAAGGGAAGAAGTGTGATGTATCCTGCAGATCGAGCCTACCTTGATGCAGCTGACGAGGCGATGCTGGCAGATCTCGGTGTGATCAGGCATCTCGGCCCGCGGCAGGCGGACACTGCACGGCTGGTTCGGGCAGACAACCGTCACGAACTCACACTCCTCAATATGGGCGTCCCGCTGGAGAGGGGAACAAGATGAAAAAAATCGTTAGGATCGGTGGAAATCACCACGTACTGGGCCTATGGGACCAGTCTTTGGCAGTTCAGTCTCAGAAGACTTTCTATATATATATCTACGCCGCTGGAGTGTCGCCTCTGATGTGATTTGTGAGTCCAGCCTTGGGCCTTCACACCCCTGTTGCACACGCAGCATGTGTGCTATGTGACCAGGGGTGCTGCTAGTGCTACTGTTTTTTTTCCGTCTCTTTTTTGGCGACGTCTCAGGGAGGAGCCTAATGGTACAGTATTGTGTGTAGTTTGCAAGAATTCTAGGAATGGTACAGGCATTTTGTCCACAGGAATGGAATGTCCACAGGCATGTATCTGACCCACATCTATGCCCACATTCCTGGAAAACCTTGGGAAGACCTCTCTTCCCCGGTGGCCCTTCTTTCTGTGACCCCGGGCTCGTTCACTATACACTCAGGGGAGGAGTGCACTGTATCTGTACCAAGTCTTCCTCAAAATCATGAAATGATGGCAGTGCCATGCAAACAAAGACCACCGTCGCCATGGCAATGTATGTTTTCATTGCCAGTCTTGTTGTGCTTCAGCTTCTCCCCTTCTTTTGTCTGCATCCGTAACACCATTACAACTCTGCGCCAGGCAGCTCTATCCTCAGGCTGGGCTTTCCAGGTGTCTGTTGAGATACCACATGCCTTTACATGTATGTCTCCCTTGCAAATGCACAATGCTGGACGTCCAACTCGACTGGATCCGGAGGTTGTGACCAGTACAGTTAAAAAAAACTTATGTGACTAGAAAGGTAACATTTGCAAAGCAAATGCATAATGTTTACCTTCACATATGGTCTGCTCAGTTAATCTTTACTCAAACACATTCACATATATGATGACAGGAGCCTAAACCCCTCCTGCTATAAAATTGCAACATTATGTAACCCAACACCAGTTACCATGGTGAGAGACAATCTGGTTCAATCAGGTCAGAGGTCACTGTTTGGAGAAGAAGAAGAGGAAATGTAGCAAAAACAATATGTTTTCCTTCGGTAAACATAACAATAGCATCCCAAGAGACGCAATTGTTTATATGTCCCTGTATATTGTAGGCGCATTTTCTACCTCTGTCGAATTTTATAACATGGAAAGTCTACCCGATGGAACATTCAATTTGGCATTAGCAGTGTATACAATGTGTGTACGTGTGGCTTAGGGGAGACCCATGTGGCTGTATGTTCATAAAAGTGCATTAGCTTTTATCTAACGGCGCTCTGACTTCTGTGGAATTACAGACACGCCGGTGACTACGGAAGTAAGCTGTACAAATGCCGCTAATCAGTGTACAGGTGATGCTGTTTACCATTATTCTACTTAACCTTCAATCATTTACGTGTAGGAAAACTGATCTTTTGGTCATTAATTTGATTTGGAGCTATTTCTACTGCCAGGTTCCAAGTAATCCATATTAGCTTGAAAGTTCATCTGTCATGGTAGAAGTACTTATTTGTTTTAATCTCTAACTACACATGTGTACTAAAACGGATGAGCATGTCTTACAGTCATTTGAGACCATTTTCCCATCCAGGCTTTGTAATCTATATACCAGTTTGAAAATTCGCATGTGTCGGTAGGTTTCATATAAGACCTTTTCATGTAATGCAATCCTTTTAATTCTTTACAGAAAATGTCAGGGTTAAAACTCGTGGATGGCTGAAACTTGAAACTAATTGTAATGGTCGACTAAGTGTTCAAGCGTCGTTTTTGCAGATGTGACAGATTATTTTTAACAGGATGATTAAAAGGTTTGAGGGATACATTTCTTATGTACCCTGCTTCTTTAACTTAACCTAGGAATCAAAGAAATGTGGTTTCTTCTATGTCTTAGTTTGCAGATGCCAATTCCCATACACGAGGTTTTATTGTATAGTGTTGCAATTCAAATTAAATCAAAATATATCAAATATCAGAACTGTGAATTTACGTATTTGGTTCATGAAATCTGTGGCAGTTAAATTTTCCCACCGCCGCTTGAAAGTACAGTAACTGTTATAAGCACCAATTTGCGCATGCTGCCGACATTGACAATTTAAACAGAAGTTGGCACTTCATTCTCGTACTGTACAGGATGGAAAGTTGGTAGAATGGGACTCGGTGGCGAATGGCGTCATGTCGCTAGGCAACAAGAACGCAACAGAGGAAGTCTCTGTCATTTCCAGGTGTAGGAGTGAAGAGGTGGTAATGAGTGAAGATAATTGCTTTCCTTTTCGCGTCTGCACAGATTCACGAATTTTGCAAAAGGTGACAAAAACCAACACAAAAACAGAGTATATTTTATCCCTGTCACATATTCAAGACCTTCCCACAACTTTACGCCAAAAAGCAGTTGCAAGCAACTGGATATGATTTTGGAAACGTCAGACGTTTCAGCTAGTATCCACTAGCTTTCGTCAGTGACTGAGAGACCAGAGGGGAAATGCAGGTTTATAAGCACTAACTATTGATTGATATGCAAATAAATTGAAGACAATTTTTTGGACCTTCCCACAACTTTGTTTCAGACCACTTCCCAACCAAAATCTTAGCACTGGATTTGGAGTAGCCTGAAATCCCGCTATTCTAGCTCTATTTAGTTTGTTCCTCTGATCGCATTAAATCATATTTAAAAAGAATGTGGCTTTCCCTACTTCGATTTGTCAAAGCTAGTACGCAACCTAACTAACCACTCACGACCTTGCTCACGACTAAATCCCAACCATAGTCTGGAGAAGGTCGAGAGACCATGGTCGGCTTTAGCTATCTTCACTTTTGTTGACATGGGTGCAAAATTCTATCCACTACACAGAGTATTAGAATAGATTAATGTAGGCGAATACCATAATATTTTCCAGTATATGTATACCTTATTGTGATTATATGACTGTTGAAGTGATACAGAAGAGATGGCAACCTCCTTGGTTTTCTGATCTCAACGTTCCATCTAGTGTCGTGCATGTCCATTATCTGATATCATCCTACCCTCTTTTTCCAACGAAATTCGCAATCCCTCGTCCAAAGATGTGGGAAGGATTAACTATAGCTAAAAGCCAGGTCATATTGTTTATATCGGTCTTTGTTTGTATCTGTATCTTTGATTTTATTGTATTTTGTACTGGGCCCTATTGAAAATAAATTTGTTAAAATTGAACTAGGCCACTCAGGTGTCCGAAGATTAAATAAATAAAAAAAATAAATATTCGTCGTAGATTGTCGTATGATTTTGATGCCATAAAATTTTCAAGTAAACTGTGACAGAACCATCCCCAACAAGGGTCTAATACTGCCTTTTTTGTAACAATACATCTGAATTTTGCAGGGCAAAGATACTAAAGAATGATCTCAGTTTGCGATCGTACGGCGGTCGCAAGACAAATGTGACCATGCCCCACCACCGTGACACAACAAATGTACGATTCTTACCTCGTCGTCGTCAAAAACCCCCGACTGATCGTCGACTGCTACGACGCAAATGCGGCACGGAACACTGCCCATGTTAACACGACTGTTTCACGACGCTAAGACGACCTGACTGTTTGTATCAGCTCTGTATCCCTTTAACCGTTATACTACGCCTTCGCTTTGGTATGACACACCAGCTGAATGCTTCATCACTTAAAGTGAGGGGTTTTTATACTCTACAGACCCACTCCTACGCTATTACGCATGTGCAGGCCACAACTTTTTTATGAACGCGTCATCTAAAATTTACGTCGGTGAAGGTTAGACATCCAGGTAATACGATACGCCAAAAAGCAGTTACTGAAGCAACTGGATATGATTTTGGAAACCCAAAAACCAAAATCATATCCAGTTGCTTGAGTAACTGCTTTTTGGCTTGTCATCTGAAATTGTTTCCTTGTAGCTAGGGCACCGTTTTGTATGTCATCATCTCTTTGCAGCAATAGTTGAAAGGGATTTCTTGAAAGCGAACATTGATACAAATTATTGCACATTATGCAACAAAGGCGCATTAGAACTTAGTATTTTGTTGCCAGATATTCTGAACTATTACATATCATGACTTCACAAGTTTGCTTGTAAGATATCCATGTCATCAGCTGGTCTGACGTCAAATTCAAAGCCAACTAGATCAAGACCAACACAGAGCTTGTTAAAGCTGAGAAAGAGATTTAGATTTGTCAGCTAGATTTTACCTCTTGTAAGAGATAATGGTTTAGGTATGACTTTTTTTTTTTGTGAACGAGTCATCTGAAATTTGTTTGCTGGTATCTAGGGTACCGTATTGTATGTCATCATTTCCTTGCAGCAATAGTTGACAGGGATTTCTCGAAAGCGAAAATTGATATAAATCATGGCACATTATGCAACCAAAGCGCATTATAACTTGGTACTTTGCTGCTACATATTCTAAACAATTATATATCATGACTTCACAAGTTTGCTTGTAAGATACCCATGTCATCAGCTGGTCTGACGTCAAATTCAAAGCCATCTAGATCACGACCAAGACCAACACAGAGCTTGTTAAAGCTGAGAAAGAGATTTAGATTTGTCAGCTAGTGTCTTACCTCTTGTAAGAGATATGGCTTAGATATAAGTTTTTTTTGTGAAGGCGTCATCTGAAATTGTTTGCTGGTAGCTAGGGTACCGTATTGTATGTCATCATTTCTTTGCGGCAAAAATTGACAAGGATTTCTAGAAAGCGAACATTGATATAAATCTTTGCACATTATGCAACCAAAGCGCATTATAACTTGGTACTTTGCTGCTACATATTCTAAACAATTATATATCATGACTTCACAAGTTTGCTTGTAACATATCCATGTCAAATTGTTTGCTGGTAGCTAGGGTACCGTATTGTTTGCCATCATTTCTTTGCAGCAATAGTTGAAAGGGATTTCTTGAAAGCGAACATTGATACAAATTATTGCACATTATGCAACAAAAGCGCATTAGAACTTGGTATTTTGTTCCTAGATATTCTAAACTATTATATATC